GTTATTTTTTGAGATTTTTGAAATTTTTGACAGAAAAGAGTAAAAATATCAATAATATTGTAAAGATGTGAAATTATAAATTCAATGAAGATGTTCCTCGAAAAATGACATATTAGATTTTTTTGACAAATGGGAAAAATATGTATTTTTAACATGTTAAATTAAAATTTCAATTAAGATGTATCATATAAAAGTGACAATTGTCATAATCGTTATTTTTTAAGTTTTTTGAATTTTTTTGAAGCAAATGGGTAAAAATATAGATTGTAAATATACTAGATTAAAATTTCATGAAGATTTACTATAGAAAAGTGACAATTGTCATGATCATTATTTTTAAAGTTTTTTAAATTTTTTGACTTAAATGGGCTAAAATAAGTATTTTTAACATGTTTAATTAAAACTTCAGTGAAGATGTACCTTGGACAATTGTCATAATCGTTATTTTTAAAGTTTTTTTAATTTTTTTGATGGGTAAAAATATTGACTGTAAACATGAATTATAATTTCATGAAGATGTACCATAGAAAAGTGACAATTGTCGTAATCTTTATTCTTAATGTTTTTTGATTTTTTTTTCACGCAAATGGGTAAAAATATAGATTATCTAAATGTTAAATTAAAATTTCATGAAGATGTACCATTGAAAAGTGACAATTGTCGTAATCGTTATCTTTAAATTTTTATGAAAATGGGCAAAAATATATATTGCTAGTATGTTAAAATAAAATTTCAGCGCAGATGTACCATAAATGACAATTGTCATAATCGTTATTTTTAAAGTTTTTGGATTTTTTTTGATGAAATGGAAATATGGATTGTAAACATGTTAAATTAAAATTTCATGAAGATGAAGCATAGAAAAGTGACAATTGTTATAATGGGTTAAAATATAGATTTTTTTAAGAACTTTTCTTAAACACGATTTCACCGTGAGTATACAAAAAATTTTTTTAACAGAATGCAAAGTTATAAATTTTAATAGATATAGAATTAAAATTTATTAGTTAAAGGAATAAGATTATGAATCCATATCTTAAAAGTTTAGAATTTAACATGAGTTACAAACAACTAATGTTGTTAAACGATTGAGCCGATTTTTTAAAACGGCTAATTCAATATTTTCGCCAATAAAATATTACCTAAGTCTCGAGATTTCTATAATATATGTCTAGACTTTTGTTCCTTTTATGAGCAAAATCTTCTGGCTTGCATAATATTTTTCTGAGTAATTGAGTTAGCCGTTTTTAAAAATCGGCTTAAAGCGAGCCGTTTAACAACACTAGCTACAACCCTCTTTAGTAATCACCATATTTTTATCAAATTTTAAGCAGGATAAAAGGGACAACGATTATGAGCATGGAAATTCCATTTGTTTTTTTTTGATTCGCCAAATGGTACAACATATTTCTCAAAAAAATAAGAATGTTAAAGAACGAAGATTGTGATAATAGGCAATTTTCTGAATTATTTTAATAAAATTTAAGCAAAATATCTTGTTTTTCTCAAAAAAAATATTGGAAAACTTTAAAAATAACGATTTTGACAATTGTCACTTTCCTATGGTACATTTTCGTGAAATTTTAATTTGAAATTTTTACAATCTATATTTTAGCCCACTTGGGTCAGTTTATAATCTAACCCATTTGCTTCAAAAAGCTTTAAAAATAACGATCATAACTATTACACTTTTCTATGCTGCATCTTCATGAAATTTTAATTTAACTCTACAATCTAATCTATATCTTTACCCATTTGCGTCAAAAAAATTCAAAAAACTTTAAAAATAACGATTATTACAATTGTCACTAATCTAAGTACATCTTCACTGAAATTTTATTTTAAATGTTAGTAATCTATATTTTTGCCCATTTGCATCAAAAAAATTTAAAAATAACGATTATGACAATTGCCACTTTTCTATGGTACATCTTTATGAAATTTTAATTAAACATGTTTACAATCTAATTTTTACCCATCAAAATAATCCCAAAAACTTTAAAAATAATGATTATGACAATTGTAACGTATCTATGGTCACTGAAGTTTTATTTAAACATGTTAGCAATACTTATTTAACCCATTTACGTCAAAAAAACTTTAAATATAACGATTATGATAATTGTCACTTATCTAAGATACATCTTCACTAAATTTTTATAACATGCTAGCAATACTTATTTTTGACCATTTGCGTCAAAAAATTTAAAATATTTTAAAAATAACGATTATGATAATTGTCACTTTTATATGTTGCATCTTATTTGAAATTTTAATTTTAACATGTTAAAAATACATATTCCCATTATCGTCAAAAAAATCTAATATGCTTGAATTTCATATAATTTTTCAGGGAAATTACTTTGGATATGATCTGTACCAAAATTATTTTTAATATCAATCTCTATCATCGACATATTAAATTTTTTGAAAACTACTCCAGTGGAATGGAACAAATCCTTCCTATGTAATTTTCCTTTAATCAAAGACCCACAAAAATTTACTGATTACCGAGCCGGGCCCTCACATCCTGTGTCTCAAAGATTTTTATGGTCCTCTTAAAAAATAAAATCATATCTAACCTCATCTTTTCCCCAAATACCTATGCGCGTACAGGCCTAACAAAAACATACTAGAGCCAATATTAGCCCTGAAAATAATTGTGCAAAAATTTTGCAAATACAAAATACCCTCCTACTTCGCATTCGTGGATTTTAGTAGAGCTTTTGATAATGTTAATCATGAAGCTCTATGGGAAACACTGTCAGAGTGTGGCATCCTTCCTTCAGGATAAAAAAGGTGTAAAACAAGGCTACTCTATCGCCACTTTTGTTTAATATCATTAAATAAAATCATAACAGGCGGCCTATCTAGTAGATATAGGGTCAAATGAGACGATACCTTTAGAAAGAATAATATACGCAGATGACATCGTTGTGATATTCAAAATTTTACTCTACCTATTAGAAACCGTCATAGAGTTTGACTAACGATAAATTTCAAAATTCTCCCTTCCCCAAAAGTGCCACCGCTCCAAAATATATATGAAAGTATGGAAAACAAATAGATTTCGGTCAGACTGCTTGTCTTCAACTCAACAATAATTTCTATACTACTCTATGGAGGGGACATATGGGAAATACACAAAACAGAAAATAGACGACTTCAATCCTTTATCAATAATTGCCTCCGAATAAATGGTATTTTCTACCCATAAATAATCTCAAACACCAATCTTTGGAAAACGCCAAATAATACACCCATAAACATAACATTAAAAAACGTCGAATTAAGTTTCTAGCCCACATAATAAGAAACTCTGATCACAATCTAATACATGATGCCATAACATAGCTTTTACATATAAAGGAAAACAGTACACAAAGTACAAATCACTATGGTACTATAAAACGATAAATGAGGTGATAGAATTAAATATCAATATGAAACAATTTATAAAACTAAATAACTATAAAAAATCTTTCAAGAAACTCGTATCAAAGAGAGATACTTCAAATGAAAGATCACGTTCCAAAATTTCTCTCAATCAAATTATATTATTAGTAGATTTTAAAAACTAAAACAAATTATTATAAAGATAAGAAATTCGAATGAGGTCATATTTTAAATTTTCACGGTATTAATTTCTTAATTTTAATGGTAATCAATAAATCCTTTAATATATAAAGTAATCAAATGCACTAAATCTTCTCAAAATTTATTTGTAATCAAATTTAAACTTTTAAACTTAAAATTACCCATCCATCACCCTTAAGGTAATTAAATTATACGATAGTTCTTGGGTATAGGCTGTTTTTTTGCTCCGCTCTTTTTTTATTAAACCTCTAGACGTTTAAGCAACATTTTTGGATGTTATGCGTAGAAGTACGTGCAGCTTGACCACAAACGCGTAGAGGGTTCCTCTTTTATTTTTTCACCCAAATTAAATTTGTTCAAATGAGGAAAACCTAGCGTAGCTCTGTTGAACTTTTAACGTTATAGGGCAAAAGCACCTTATATCACGTATCACGTAAATTTATAATGCACATTTTAAAATATAAATTTATATTTTGAAATAAAATAAAGTAATAAGATTGATTTTAGAATTAATTAAAAATATATTTTAATAATTTTCATATGTATTTAATTTATTATAATTTCTACTTCGCCACTTTCTAAAGTAGCAAACTTCCGTTATCGCTATTTTTTTTAAAATGGCGCGCTAAAACTTTAGTTATTGAAAAAAGTAGAATGCTACTTTAACAACACTGATAGTTTGTATATAAAATTTTAAAATATAGCATCCTAATAATAATCATATTCTTATGGGCTGCTACAGGACATCATATTGGTTACTCAATGATTTTAATACCATTCATTACATATTTTTATCAAATATATTGTAGTGATTTTTAAGAATAACGCCCATCTATATTATTTTTTTATTTATAAAAATAATAATTTAAATGCAATTTTAAAAATCTATTGATTTTTTTTTATTAAACAGGTAAATATAAAGGATGAACATTTCTAGCCAATATCAACATCCCCAAAAAATCCCTTCTCAACAATGTTATTTTTAATTTTTTATCGCAACTAAGAAAACACATGGAATTTTTTAATTTTTTGATATTTTTCAATGTAAAATTTAAAGGGTTATAAAATGATTTATAATATGTAACTATCTTAAGTATTTTTTTAAAAAAATAAAATTTATTGATTGCGCGATTTTCTACCTTTAAAATTTTGATTTTATTAAAATTTACAGCATAAATAAACATGCCAAGTTTTATTCATTTTTGAGATGGTCGTCCATGACAATGGATGATTTGTAATAGAATGACCCATATTTATGTTTTATATTTGTTTGCATAATAAGATAGTATTTTTTTCTAAATACATTAAAATTACAGTCCAACTTGTTTATATTTTTTTTAAATAATCTGATTTTACATAAAAATTTATATCCCTAATTATTTTTTTAAAAACAATTTATATAGTTACAAAAATGAATCTTGTCTCCAAACAATGGCACGAATTCGATTGTATTGTGAATCATTAGCTAGGTACGGTAAATCACCATTTCTGTATCCTTTATATGGTCTGGGGGAATTGCCCCAAGGATTTGCTAGGTATTTTAATAATTTTTTTTTTCAAATGCATAGAATATAGTTTGTATTGCATTAAACAATATATACAGGGGAGACCACGGCACATCAAATTAGATTTAAAACTAATAAAATCTATTGAAATATGCGAAAAATATTGACTAATATCTCAAAAGTCATATATATAATTATAGTTTTTAATTCATTTCGATTTAGACATGGGAATAGTGTAAGTGAGACCACCAGTATTTTAATGAAATATTTATTTATATATAAGGATTAAAGGAAACACTAAAAATTTATGATAAAATATTGTATAAAAAGTTATATCTTAATGATGCTAATAGTCTTACTAGTTAAATTAATTGAATCCAAAATATTTGTGACATTAGAGGACACTAAATTATGTGGACTAAAAAGATGGCCAATTACAGATATTATTGGAGCTCTAAGCTTGAGTTTCATGATTATTATGTTTCAATTAGAAGAGATGCTTCATGAGTAATATACATGCAAAGGCTAATATATTTTGATATTGCAAATCGTGCAATTATGTTTAAATAGATTAAGAAATTGTCTAGTGAATTTTCATAAATCACTTGATGCAGCTCTTTTGAATTTCTAAATTTTTTTTTAATATTGTCCTTTATATGAATTGAATAAAATTTTCTTAAATAATGTGTTACTTGTTATTAATTTCACGAGGGGATATATAGTGTTAAAGATAACCATAGAGCCGGTTAAACCAGTATGAAAATATTTATAACAGTTTGGTTCTCTTTTATAATTTTATTATAACGGTTTGGTTACGATTCGCCAATAATATATTCATTATGTTTTCGTGATTTAGTTTGGTTCGACACCCAGCTTTATATAAATGAATAAAATATTACTAAAAATAAATTACACGACGATTAAAAAAAAATTGAACATAAATGTGTAATCTAACTCCAATGTTTTACCTTCTAACTAATAAAAAAAATCTTTAAATGCCCCCAATCTAAAGGCTTCTGTCTTTTAGATTTAGAAAAATATTTTTTTACCAAAGCATCTGCTAACGACACCCCTGATAATATATCTGATAATAGTATTATATGTCATTGTCTTTTATAAGCAACAATTTTAGGTCGATATAAGTACTGAAATATATATCCAATATGCGCGAAAATTTTATTTATATTACATTTACATAGTATTATACAAAAGAATTGTAAAAATGTAAATAAGGTGTATCACATATAGCAAAAGAATAATAAAAATGTAAATAAGGTGTATCACATTTAGCAAAAGAATAATAAAAATGTAAATAAGGTGTATCACATTTAGCAAAAGAATAATAAAAATGTAAATATATAAGAGGAATATAAATAAATGCTGGTTATGGTTGTTATTTTATAAAATTTGATACATTATCTAAAAAAGTATATATTTCCATTTAACTCTCTTATACATGAGTCAGATTATCAATTTTGATATTTAATTGATCATATTTTCTATTTTTTTGTAATAGCAAAATCTCACTCGAATGTTGATGTCTTTTTAAAATATTTATCACACAATAAATATTGGGATAAGCCTCATTCGCCTTTTTATTAAGGGCGTGATAATTCCGCTCCATGTAGTTGTTTGTTTTAGGATTGTCAACTTGATACTTAAATTGATTAAAATATATTTAAATGTTGTAATACCTGGTCCATATATTTCGGAGGAATATGGCATTAACATCGACCCATGTACGATCCATATACTCTATAAAATTAAGGATATTCAGCAGACAGCAAGCCATGATGCCCGTATACAGAACCTGGAAATAGTGAAAACAGCCTAAATATAACTTTTTGGCCATATTTTGAAACAGAAACCTGAGAATCGAAGCTGCGACCTTGTAACCAGTTTGTCAAAATCTAGGATTGGATCAAATATTATTCATGGAGCAAAATTCCATAATTTGAAAAAATTCATTATTCCCTACATTTTTTTCATCACATATTTCTTCAATTTTCTACATTTCACAGATACCAAACAGCAACATTTTATCATTTTTGATTAAAAAAATCCTCCCTTCCCCATGTTTGGTGATGTATTCTGGTAATAATTAGGGATGTAACTTAGGGCAAATTTCCTCTATACTTTCCCTAATTTTTATATTATATTCTTTTGATAAAAGAAATCAGGATTTATATCATGTTCTAGAAAAATATTTTTTCCTCTTTATTTTTATATCATAATTGTGTTTTGTTTTTGTATATACGTTCATTTTAAATAATATAATAATAACTCAACTCCAGTAATGTTCATCGGGAGGAATTTTTTTTATTGATTGAAATATATTTAAAATTTTTAATAATAACTGAAATAAGGAGTAGTATTGAAGGTTAAAAAGATATAGGATAAGGCTTCTAAACTAAATTAAACTAATAATTATAAATTTCTGATAAAATTAAATGAAATATATAGATAATTTCGCAACACCATTTTTATATTAAATTGTATATCTTCCATAATGCAACGTGTATTTGGAAAATAATTTCAATCTTTAAATCAGCATTAAAAATATAGTTACTAATAGATAGGATAAAAATATAATTTTAACCCTTATTAAAAAATTTTATTGTAGCAATCCCAAGTCTCATTTTCTATAAATTAATTAAAACGGACGATGCATACGAGAATATACATTATATATCGTTAAGTAATTGTAGAATTTGGAAAAACAAAAATTAACATAATGAATGTAATGAAGAAAGCCTGGACACTTAAATATCCAATTATCGAATGCATTGGGTCTTCACCTCATAGACTTAATTTGCTTTTAAAGGATAGCAAATAAAATATTGGCAATTTATATATTAGTAGCAAGCTCAAATAATTATAAAATATGTAAAATTCAACATTCTTTTACACATTTAAGGAAAAACAACTACTTAAAGATTCCTTAAAGTTGCCTAGCCTATCCTACTCTTTGGACTGTATAGTTATGATAATTAATAGTCTGTTAAAAAAAAATTTTGCGGTAATATTCCATATTTCTTCTTGATAATGAAGTTTTTTAAATGATCTTGCACTGTACAATTTTACAGTTATCTCTAAACAAAAAGAAGAAGTCGAAGCAGTCAATTTAATTCCTCAAGCATTTATTCATATCAGGGAATCTCTTCCGGAACAAAATTATAGATATCGAACAATTTATAAAAAAAAATCAGGGAAATTTTTGTTGTCAGGACATATATTCCCTGCTCATATATTTGACCCAAGATATAGCGATCAAATTTGCATGTAGCCTTGCAACCAACTTTTTTGCAACGATTCTTTTCGATAGTCGTGATACAAATAATTTTGAAAATAAAGCTTTGGTGTAAATTTATTAAGATATGTGCTACTTCTAAAAGGAGATAACTATTGCATACAAGAAATTTAAATACTTGATCTGTATTAGAAGAGGATTAAGTTTTGACAGATTAGATAATGTGGAGTGGTGATAATTAAATCTAGGCCAATCATGAATTTGGCATTCCACCACATTTTTTGCGACTGGTAATAAACAGTCTTTAGTTAAATAATCATTAATCATGCCCTTGGTAGTTATATAATCCTTCTTCTGTTTGCTGAAAGCAAATATATATTTAAAATATTCTATCATTTCAAGTTATATGTATTTCAGATAGTTTTTATGGTTATCCTAAAGTGGGAATCGTAATAATATATATATACAAAAGTTCATCTAAATAAACATGGCTGTTATCATCTTAAATATTTTGTCACCATTTTGTGAATATTTTTATGAATATACAAATTTTTCGCTATTTGAGTCGCCTACGAGAAAGGTAATATACCAATTAAAGCCAAACGTCATTGTTGTTGCAAATGGTTCAAGATAAATACAATATATAAGTGCGATAAATATACAGATTCATAAATATAAAATTCTCAATGAATGTTTAATTTTTGGAACATTCATAAAATCGTGATGATTTTTTTTTGAAATTTTGATATATGAATACGTTTATACTAATGATGAATATTTAACTCATACAAGTGGGAAAGGCTGTTTATCTTACCTGTCGCAAAAATATGGTGGAATGTCGAATTCATGATTGACCCGGATAATGATTTAACATTCAGGTGCTTATCAAGTTATATTTTAGATACTGGAATTGAAAGTATAAAATATACAAATTTGCAATTTATAAAATATAATTATAGCTAATAGTTATCTCCCATTAGAAGTAGCACATGTCTTTATAGATTTCAGAGACCTGCAGAGGCACCATTTGCACGGCCCGGCCCGGTTTTAAATTTTTTAGGCCCGGCCCGGATATTTTTTAAAAAAATTTTTTTACGGCCCGGCCCGGATTTAAAAATTTAAGGCCCGGCCCGGATATTTAAAAAAAAATATTTTTACGGCCCGACCCGGATTTAAAAATTTCAGGCCCTGCTCGTAATTTTTAAAAATTATATTCGTGGTATATACAAAAATTCACCTATGAGGTATTTTACCATATTTTTCAGCGAGTATTATCGCTTATTATTTAAAAAATACATGTAAAAAGCTAATATTTTGAGAATATTATATTGAATTTATAAAAATTATAAAACTGTTATTTATAAAAATGGATATTTTGAGCATATACTATATTTTATATTGCATTTATAAAAATAAAACTAATATTCATAAAAATGGTAATAATATTTTGAGCATAAACTATATTTTATATTGCATTTAAAAAAATAAAACTAATATTTAATTTATAAAAATGGAAAATATTTTGAGAATATAATATATTTTATTTAATTTACTATTTAATTTATAAAATAAAATAAATCGCTAATTAAAAAAATGCATGTATAATAAATAGTATTTTGAAAATATAATCTAATTGCACAATATTAATATAATTTATTTTATAATATAAATTTTTAACAAAAGAAGATAATTGTATTATATAATATTGTAAAAAAAAATAATGAAAAATGTTGGATTCATGACTCAAGGTAAAATGTAATAATGCAATATATTTGACAGT